TTTTGTTGGGTTGGGGGGGGGGGGGGGGGGGGGGTATCTGCAGATTGTGTTTAAAAACTGTAAAACATAGCAAAGTAAATTAAACCGGCTAATAATAAACCGACAACATGAACACATTTTTGCACTTCTGTAAAAATGTTTATTAACAGATCCACAATTCATAAAAAAAGAAACTGTAAAAAAAAAAATAATAATAATTTAATTTGCTCAGCTAGGCGCTGTTGATAGGCAGAACATAATCGAGCTAAGGCAGGTATTGCAGTGTAATCATTGTGCAGTGGTTTTCTCTAAGGCAAACAAAATCAAAAAGCAAACACTGTCTTCAATGATTTTTTTTTTTTTATATGAAAACATAAGCATTTTATTCCCTGTGATAGTCCATTGCTTTGTTCCGTTCACCCGTCCTTTATTTTTCAAGTACACTGAGACTGCAATGAGTCAGACAGCCGGTTTAAGGCAGCGCAGTTATTGGACTCAGTTTGAACTGGTGAACCGATGGTTGGATGGGCATTGGTGTCAGGAAGGAGGTAGGGAAGGTGAAAACCGAGGACTCGAAGTTCTCCGTTTCGAGTGTGAAGTCGCCACTAAAGAAGGTGGGTGTCTCCTGAGCGGCAGGAGTGACGGACGGAGGCGCGGAAGAAACCACTTCTGACTCGAACTGCAGTAGTTGGCCCATGAAGCTAAAATTGGGCGAGACGATGGCACGCCGCTGTCGGATGACCTCAAAGGCCTGCTCCAAGCGCAACCGTTGGGTTTTCATGATGTACGCCATGCAGATTGTGGGAGAACGAGAGATTCCAGCCTCGCAGTGGACCAGCACTTTACCTCCCTCTTCTTTCACACGTTCTGTGGAGAGAAAAGAACATGAATTCATTACAAAAGCACTTGAATTAACAGCACGAGTCTGACTGTTTTCAAACAAGTTTCCCCAAACACGCCCCTCATCTGCCATTGGCCAGTCAAACAAATAGCCCCGCCCCAATTTTACACCATTGGTTGAGTCAGCGTTGCTATGCTGGACTGGACTTGACTCTTCAAACAAACAAAGCAATGTTTTGAAAACACCACAGAGACAAAATGTTCACACTTTTGAGGGAAACCAATCTTCACTGAAAAAAAAATTGGTGTCGGATTTACCTTGAAACAATTTCCACACAGAAATTGTTAGCAAATAAAAAAAAAACCTACAAAGAAACGGCAAGTAACACCAAATTAAATGTGAAATTTTGAAATAGAAAGACTGAAATTTTATTTTCTTGTACTTTCTTGTACTTGTTTTATTTACAACTCACTAAATATATTTTTTACAATGTATGAATGACTTATAGTTTGAGCACATTCATTTTGGTATGTAAAATATGTTTACATAACATTACAATGTGTAAATGCCATTAAATGGTGTTGTGCTATAGAGTTGTGAGAGGGAACAAGTGAAACACAATCATGGTTATTTTTCAGTTCTTCTGATATCCTCTCTCCATTATCACTCTGCTAATTCATTTCCTCCCTGACCCTTTTTTATCGTAATGTCATATCAATTTCATTTCCACCCCAGAAAGCTCTGACGCACAAATCCATAAATTCTCACCATTATGGAAAGCTCTGATTGTGTATTCCTGTCTAATTTAATACAGCTAAGCAGATTCCAGCCTCATTTCTGTCAACCATGCACACACCGAGAAGTGAAGCGCATGTTCATGCGAGATCCCTCGCTGCTGGTCTCTTTAAAACAAAACCTTCTGGGTGTGAATCACGCCTGAAGCCCATCTGGAGCGAAGCGGTGCCGAGCTGTGGGCGTCATAATGACTATTACACTCCCTAATGCGCCTAAATATTACCACACACTCATTTAGCCGAAGCTTTCGATGGATTATTCTTTCACTTCACTGCTATCGCTTTCCTGCGGGAAACCAAATCACCTCATGGTCTCTTACGTAATGCTGTCTATATTCAGACAAATGTAAATGAAACTTGAGTATATTCGAATGAAATGTGGGATATGCGAGTCAAAGTCCTTGAATGGCAGGATGACATGGTTAAAGCCTCACTAGAGGAACTGAAATATGAATACAGGTCAAGCTGGGAGTTTTGGTCATATGTGAAGTCTATGTAAACAACGTCTACACTCTTAAAACAAAGGCTTTTTTATGCAGTGATGTCATAGAAGCAGCATTTTTGGTTCACCAAAGAACCTTTCAGTTTCAGTTTCAGGACAAGCTTCCTGCAAATCACCCACAAATAGCCTTAAACACTCTCAGATCATTGTGTAAACATATTCACCTGATAAGGAAGCTGTGAACAACCTACAAAACACATGCCAGTCCATTCTAACGCCACTAATCATCGACTCATCCACTGACTCACTGGCCACATATGATCTTGGATTAGTCTAACCTGTGACTCACAGCGGCATGTCCGTTTATCTTTCTTTATCTTGGTTTCATTTTATTTTATTTTTTTCAGTATGAGTTGGTATTAATTGCATTTCCGAGAACACAAGTAACATGGGATTTGTAGGTGTAAATAAAGGTGCTGTCCAGTCAAATTATGGAAATTGTGTGTTAGTAAAGCAGAGGAAGTCTTATTTTTACATGACCTGAAATAAGCTCCACTATCTATAGGTCTGTGCTCAGTTCTGGGAATGGTTTTAGCCATACGGGTGAAGTTTACATAACACTAAAGATGTTGTCATTTAAAACTTCTTATTCTTATTAATAACCCACTGAAGCAAGTTTAACCACATCCGAATGTGAGACTATGAAGTGCTCAGAATGGAAAACTGTGTATGCTCAGACCACTAAACTAAAACTAATAATAACAGTAATTTACAGCTTTAAATAAAAAATTATCATTAAAAAACAAATGATATACAACACATAATTAAATAATTAAATTAAAAAAATAAAAATAAAATAAAAATGATATTACATAATTAAACATTATATAAAATAATTAATTACAAAATAAAAATTATTAAATAATTTAAAAATAATTAATACACACACACACACACAACTATAGTATATATACACTATTTACCAATAAAATCTATGGCCTCCTGGAAGTGTGAGCTGATATCTGCCGTGTGACTGTCCTCCACCGGGATCCATTTGTAGTCATACAGTCCTTTGGCAGGCCGCGAGTCCCTGCGCGAGACGTTCAGCAGCGCTGTAATGCGGAGGTCACTGAGATAGTCCTGTCTACAGGCGTGATAGGCACTGCCCAGGTATAGGAAAGGCAAGATCTCCACTGGCCGTCCCTGAAAAATAACAACAATAAACAGATATCAAAACTGAAACTCTCAAAACAGATTCACCACCTAAAGACAAACAGGTGCACCGTTTGACCTTATCATAAAAACTGAACAGCAGACTAAAGGTCAGACATAAAAGGACCTCAGATGTCTGTTGGATGTCTTTGAAGGATTGTAAAGGGGGCTCTTTGGTTTGGGTAGATGGATGGTTGGGTTACATACATACATATATGGAGTAGAATCTTGAACCACATAGTCTTTTCTGTGTTTTTGGACTCATATTAGAGGGGGAGTTGTTGCAGAAACTCCAACAGTTAGAGGAAGTGGTTTCGGTGGAAGTGGGTTAAAATGAGGAAACAACAGCTCGCTTTCTTCTCTCTTACCTGATCATAGTCTGGTTTGTGGCGAGAGCCCA